CACATTCACCTTCTTGCCCCACAGGTAGTGTACACTTTACCTGCCTGGCTGGTCAACTAACTGCTGCAGCTAAATGCCTTTCACAAGCACTACTGACAGCCTACGTATACAATTTAATCATTTTAGTTTATACAACTTTGAATTAATGGTTTTGAATATTATTCCTTTTGGTCATGATCACTGTTAGTCAGTAAAAGACGATGTAATGACATATTACCCTACAGCAATAAGATAACTTCTTTAAGTCGTGTATTATCAATGTTGGATAACTGTGCCCCGCCAGTTATTCAAGAAATGCTGCCAGTAATGATATGTCCATATGATATCAATAATGTGGAAAACACTGAAGGAATTTGACAATAAAACTGTTAAACACAGAATATGCCTAAATGTAGGTGTGACTTAGTCGAAAGCCATCACGTGCACCTGTTTACTTTAAGTGCAATGGAACCACAGTCCGTGATCCCGATGGGCCGAGTCTTTAGGGTCGGGAACGCACAGGATCCGGTCAAACGGTTGGTTCGACTGGTCTCCATTCACTCTCACCCTGTATCCATTTATCAACAATCGGTTAACTTAAAGATAGTGACGTCATTCGACAGCCTTCTTTAGTCTGTTGTTGACAAAGTGAAGGCAGGCAAATGTCATTTTTCAATGACATGATGTGATAAAATGTTGTGACTTTAATCCGTGATCAGGTCCAATGGAACGCATCTTAAAACGTACAATTCAGAAAAATTATCATGGAAAAAAGTGAATCTGTTAAAAAATGTTAAAGGACCCTTAGTTACCTATCTGTAGCTTTCTTGCTGTAGTTGTGCAGCCTTATGTAGAGAATGGGACCTGACATGTTGTGAACTATGCAGAATACCTCCGAACTGCTCTTCTGATAATGAAAGAACAACACGGTATGAAAACACACTGAAATACTATGATATTGTCACACTGTCAGTGTGTTGTAGTTTGACAACACACTGTAACAACACAGGCTAAAACGTTAGCATGTTTAAAGCCTGTGTGATTATGGGACAACTTGTGTATTTTGTCAAATCTGGCTTTGTTATGCTGATATTTGATACTATGGTACATTATTGATCTCATCAACAACTTAATGAGGACATTGTTCACAACATAAATCATATTTTGCTTAAAATAAAATAAAAATAAACATTTAGCATCTTCCCATAATGCATTTGGCTCAAGAGTGTAGAGTGTCCTGACTTAAACCCTTGAGCCTCCCCTGTAAAGGGAGAAGCATCTGCTAAACTTAAACACACTGTGGTATTTTAAATGTGGCATGTTGTGTTTAGACTGCTCACGTACTCTATGTGCTACAGTAAAGGAGGCCACCTCAAAACGTCTCAAGCTAAGCCGGGGATCACGTTCCCTCTTGGAGCTTAGCTTTATTCCACGCTGCGGGTCACGGGGTGATTATCTCTTCCTGTCAGGAATGCTGAGAATTTCCTGCATTTTCCGCCTCTTCCGGCCCTGTTCGCGGTTTTTTGCCTGAACATGTGACGGACAGCTCTGGCCTGGCTGGTTCTGATTGACGTGTTACTTTCTACAATATCACTCGTACCTTATGACCTATAAGAGCAGTGACACGGGCGCTGAATTAAAGGGCTGATATCATAGTGCTCACCTCAAGGGCTGATCAAATGAAGTGTTTTCAGTGAGTAAATAATGTGCACATGTGCTCTAAAGAGGCAGCAGGTTCTGCCTAACATCTCTCTCTCTCTCTCTCTCTCTCTCTCTCTCTCTCTCTTTCTCTTCAGAGACCTTTTGTTATATAAAACCACTTAAATGCACCACCCTTCACCAAGACTTTGACCAAGAGAATCACTCATTAATAGAAACCATAACTCACGTGTTTCAGGACTGACAATTTAGAAGAATTTTTTTTAATTTACAGAACATCCGATATTCAGCTCCATTCAATATTGAGTTTATTTATTTATTCGTTCATTCTTTTTTTTTATCTTCTTATTTTTTTATTTAATTTTTTTATTTATGATGAAATATGGCTAAAATAGTGTGTCATAAAAGCTTGTCTTAACTCAAAAGATGAGCACACCACTGAATTTGCGAAACCGATCATCCGCGCCCTAACTGTAAATGTTAAATTAAAAATCCTACCGGGGCACTCAACACAAACTCTGAGTCTACTTAATGGTTATTGTTTGCCTTTTGTATCTTTCTCTGTGTAAGGGAAAGGTTGCGCTTTAATCGTCAAGTGTTACCCTCACGGCTAACGACGGCAGTTCCTTCTGACTAACTTAATTCACATTCCCGATAAAGGACACTGAAAGAACAAAGTTTGATTGTTGTGTCGGTCTTTAAAATCTGCTGTTTGTTGATCGCTGTACACGTGGCCCTCTCTCTAAACATGGATTCTGCATGTGTGTGTGTGTGTGTGTTTGTTTGTGTCAAAGGGAGAAAGGAAGGCTCTGTTTGTGTAGGGTGGTGGTGGTGGTGCAGGAGGGGGTGGAGTATGATTCAGACCCAAGTATAGGCTGTCTCGCCACAGTAACTCTCCCCACCCATTCTACGCCCTTCTCTCCTGTTTGTTTGGAAGCTCTCTCCCTCTATTACTCCCACCTGCTTTTCTCGGAGCTGCCGTTTCAGGGCAGAAGACCAGGGCGGGAAAATGTAGTCGCTCTCAAAATGGAGGAGTGAAGAATGACATCAAAGTGTTTGAGGCCAACTTTAGGGGAGAACGAGGGAGGACTCGGGTTCCCTCTGGAATTTAACTAATAAAACTGTTTCTTTTACTTCTTGATAGTTTTTCATTTAAATTGAAGATGCTTCTAAGGTTTCTGCAATTTCACAATACATACATACATACATACAACGAAAAAGAATGAAGATGATGTAACCCACCACAAGGTTTATTTTTGGGCTTTTTATGCATTTTATTTGGAGATAGGACAGCAGATAGTCAGAAATCAGGGAGAGAGAGAGGGTGGGGAATGACATGCAGGAAATAGCCTTAGTCCTTTAGTTTCTGTCAAAGTATTTCATATGCCCATGCAGTAACCATTGGTTACCGAAGTGATGCTTCTCAGGCGCATCTATCAGGAAGAGGCCCTGTAAGTCATGGACGACAAAGACAGAGTACAAAAGAAGAAGAACTGCCCCGAAGCCTGTCAGATCCTGTCGGAGCAACCAGAGGACAGTTCCAGGCATCAATCTGCAGTCTCTCCGAAACAGGCTGTGAACAGCCTCAGTATGCATGGCTAACTGGGCTGCCTATGTCACACGGCTGTATGAGCACGTTAACAAGACGGCGGCAAACGGGGACACTGCGTGACGGCCCCTCCGAGGCACCAAAAATGACGACTCCGGCTGAAGTCAGTTTGGTGGACACTTCAAAGTCCTGAACAGATTTGGGATTTCCAAGTCTGAAAAAAAAAAAAGAAAACCTTTAAGGCAATTAAACTGGAAGAAATTCAACTTCAGGAACCTCTCGGGAGAACTGTGCTGTCAGATTTGAGCCTTTGTGCTGGAGCTGCCAAAGTTTTTCTATTTATATCCCATCGCCCTCAACGACACCAAATGTAAAAAAATCCTAATCTGTGACGGAACGTTTATTACAGGTGTACAGACCTTGCGTGCCTGCTTGTTTCTCCTCTGTCAGTGTGAAAGTAGGCCACGGGCTTCAGAGACGGTGAAGATGATGTAACCAGGGACCTATATGTGTATGTTGATTTCTCCCCCGAGCTCTGCAGCACTCAGCCACTGTTCAACTTCCCTGCCATAGTATGTGAATCTAGGTTTCATCATTAGTCAAATAACAGAAACCTCTTCACTTCTATGCTGTTACTGAACTCTTCAGGGTCTTTGAATGTAAAACTTCATCTTTTACGTCCTTGATACAAAGATCCCTTATCTTCCTCTCTCCTTAATTCTCAACGTTAATTAACTCCACTTACTTTCTGAGGGCACGCAGATGATGGCTATTTTTGTCCCGCTGCTCCCTATCGCATGAACCGATGCCTCACTGTAGTGTTTTCTTACGACATACATCTGAGACCCTCTGTCACCATGATGTGACGATGCATGTGACACAGTCTCGGCAACTGTGAGCATCGCCTCAGGGATTTGATTTAAGAAAATGTTATTCATTAACACAAGGCTTTTTAAACACATCAACTTCTTGAAAGAGGGGACATGACTTGGATCAAGATGAGAGGCCATTTTTGGTTTCAAGAAGTGTTTTTTTTTGTTGGGGTGGGGTGGGAGGGGTAGCAATGATAAGCAAATGAACACATATAAGCTCAGGTGTTTAGATTTTCCTCATTTAAATGTAAAAGGGAAATATTTGAGATATTCTACCAAAAAATGACAGCTGTGCAATTGTAGTTTACACAAAAGAATGATAAACTGGATACAAATAAGTTATCATTAAGCTAAATAGGTAATATTTTCTACGCACAACATCAAAACAAATTTCCGGACATTGAGGGATTTGAAGTTCATAAAACAGCACCAAAATTAAAACACATAAGATATATGATAGTCTAATAATAGGGTTCCTTTTGTTGATTTTTTTTTTTGACCTGAGTCAATGAAGCTGTTATTACTGAGATAGATTAAAAAAGCGACGCTACTTTCTCATCTTTAAATATGAAGCTACAAGGCGGTTAGCTAAGCTAGCTACTTAGCCCAAAGACAAAGAAAGCTGATTGTTTGTTTGACTATACAGGGAACACAAACCTCACAAACTAACACTTCTTATCTTGTTTATTTTGTAGAAAATAGTAGAGATTTAGTTACACCTTTTCCTTCTTTCAGGTGGTGTTATTAGCTTAACTTCTCGGAACACAATCAGGCCAGCTACGTTAAATGTGTGTGTCTTAAAACGTTATACTTACTATACGCTACACAGTAGACTTTTGCTTGTACTGCTTTTGTTTAACATCTTCGTCCACCACTTGGTAGCGCATCGCTAAACAGTAGGCTAAAACCTTGCTCATTGTCTTTTCATTCTCTTCTTCCAGTTTCCCAATCCAACAGCAGCCTAAAGAAGCACCGGAGCCGCAGCATCTTCAGCCCCTTCTTCTGCTGCTTCCGAAACTACAATGACTACCACGTGGAGCCCCCGCCTGCCAACAACAAGACACTTTCTCTACCTCCTCCGCCAGAGGAGAATGGCAGCCCTCCCAAGGTGAGGCTCTTAAATCACGCTTGGCCAGAATCCAAATTACACAACATTTGCATCCTCATGACCGAAAGCAAAAACCTTTTGGGGGATTTCTTGATTATGATAGAAATCCTAGTTTGACAGGAGTGGTCCAGGAATGTGTAACATTTGTTTAGTTACCGAGGGCTTGTTAAGGAGTTTGCCTTCCCCTGTAGAGAGCCTCACTCAGCTCCCTCCACACATTTTTCCAGCTGCTTCAAACCCGCTGAACCCAGAGGTTGTTTACCATCCTCTGCTTGAAAATACGGGCTCGCTTCCCATCTTGCATTCTTCGATATCTGCCTACACACAGAATAACACACAGAACCCTGAAAAGCTCACACACACACACACACACACACACACACACACACACACACACACACACACACACTCTTGCTCTTTCTGTATAAGCTCACATACACCCGTGGCAGCACATGTACGCTCACATACTGCTCGCTTCTTTAATCCCAATAAAGTGGGCCTTGTATGTGTCCGCTGTGATGGATTGCCTAAGACCCACGCCTCCTCCTTCGCCTCAATTCTAGCACACACACACACACACACACACACACACACACACACACACACACACACACACACACACACACACACACACACACACACACACACTCCAGCCACTGTAGTGGGGATGTGTGAAGCGAATGTTCTTGCCGTGGAAAAGGCGCCAAAAGCCAGAGCTCCTCCACAAACAGGGCTTTCTGCTGCCAAGGCAGGTACTCAGGGCTAAAAATGGAGCGAAACCCTGTCACATTTCTACTCCTGTTTACCTGCAAATGTCTCATCCATGGGAGGAATGTGCGGCCCTTTACACACACCGTACACAAGGTCAGTGCTGACCCATTTCGGAGCCCCCTTTTTTTTAACAAATAAGTCAAACTTATCAAGAGCAAACCTTGTGAACCTTGCTATAAAAAGGCTCGCTATACAGTGTAGGGCAGATTTTTTTTGAGCTGGGCCCGTCCCATACTCCCTCCCAGCTGTACTGCTGCTGGATTTCTGGGCAGCCATATTTGTTACTATGGCAGCTCTGTTTGTTTTTGTGCAAGTTGTTCTCACTTTCTATCACAGCATGTTCCCTTTTCTCTGTCCTTCTCTTTCTGTTGTCTCTCTGTGCATTTCTTGATTACAGTATTGATGTTGTCGATTTCTTCCTTGCAAGGATTTTTTTTTATTTATTTATTTATTTTTACTTGCCTGCCTCTTTTTTTGTCTCTTTTTTTTTCTCCTCCACCCATGTCTCTCACACTCTGTCTCTCTTTTTCTCTCTTTTTGTTTTCTCCAGTGTGACCAGGTCCAGGTCATCCCCATCCCTAGTGTATGTATTATTATTACCATCCATTTTTCTTCACCCCGCTCCATCACACTAACCTCCTTTCCCTCTGTTTGCTGTGCTTCATCATTCTTGCTGAATGTGGATGTTGACACAAAGGTGATTGTTTTTTTGTTGCCCTCAGTTGTAATTCGGCACTGAAAATCCTGAGGCGTTCACTGTTCTGCTTCATCCTTCTTACCCTGCACTCTCTCAATCTGTAAAAAGACGTTTTAACAACTTGTTCATTTGATTCATTTGTGGCTTTGACTTCATCTCCGTTTGTCACATGTTTCACTTGTACAGACATCAGGTTAATTTTCCTTTTAGACCTAATGTATTGAATCCTACTCCAGATATTACAGCCGCTGTTTGGATCCACACATGGATGAAAGGTCTTGGAAAAAAAAAAAAGATTAAATTAGTATCCTTATCGAGGAAGATTTCATCGGGCACTTGCACCAAGGGGTCATACCTATTGCTAGGAACCTCGTATTATTTACTCGTACGTCATCAGACATTCAGAAAGCAGAATTTATCTGATTACTGCTTTGTTTGTGCTGACACTGCTATTCATTTGGCTATTCTGGAATCTGTGTGGTGCCTGTGGTTTACTGTAATTTAGAATATTCACACTCACAGCATCCCACATGGCAGCCAAGCTTTAAACTACACCACCCCAGCACCTCCCTTCAAAGGCTGGAAGTGCATATCGCGAGGAGGTCTGCCTTTTTCTTTTTTTTTTTTTTTCCATTCCTGTGTGAGGACTCAGAGAGGCGGCTTAAATAACTCAAGCTGACTGGGACAGGATTCATGTGCGTCACTCTTTATTGTTAGGCAGTGTGAGAAGCATCATCAGAAAAGTAGACCACCAAGAGAGCTCCACAGCAAATACATGACAACACACAGGTGCGCAGATGACGACCGCGCTTCACTGTCACCCTCTCGGCTCAGCAGTTATAATGAAGGACTCCTTATGTTTTAGTTTAATGGAGATCAAAGGTCATGTGAAGGGGTCTATTAACCTGCTTCAGTTTAGCTTTTTTTCCTGAAGCTATTTTAGGAAGTTGGAGCTGATAAGTACAACAAACAGAATAATTATGCATGAACAGGAAATAGTTTGAGAAAAATGATTTATGGGACAATGTGGTCATATCAGATATCACAAAGTGTTAGCGGTTTAAACTGAATTAGAAAACTTAATTTGAACGTCTGGATATTCCTGCGGAAACAATATGCTACTAATATGGAAAAAGAATTGTGTTGTTGTTTTCTTCCATATATGAGTTGTCTCCTGCTATTTATGCCCTGGAAAATTTGTTTGGAAAATGTTTCACTCAACAGAAAATAAAATACAGAAAAAATAGGATTTTAAGTTGAAATGCAAAATCAGTTTTTTGTCATGTTAAATGCTGATTTTCTACAAAATCTTCCGCTCTGCAGTCCTAAAACAAGTTCACATGATTAGAGGTGTTTTATATATTTACTGTTGCAAAATGGTCACCTTTGTATGTAATATTAAACTGCAAACAATACTAACCATAATGTAAAACATTTTAAACTTAAAGGGTCATTAGGCTTGTAACTAGTCCACTTGTCTTGTTGCTGTATATCAGCTGTAGAATGACTCAGGGCAGAGATGCAGACAATGAATTGGACATTTCATGCGACTACTTGGCTAGATAATTCATTAATGTAACATTGCAAAAATGCATCCATAACTTAAAAGTCCAAGAAGTAAATTATTCATCAAAATGGTAAAAAAGAAAAGAAAAGAAAGAAGTTTACTTTTGAATAAGTTTATATTTAACTTGAATTTGTTCAACTGATAATAATTTTGTGCATCAAAAACAAAGAAAAAAACATGAAGCGTAAGGCTTACCTCTGTCATTACATTTTTTTTATAGAGAGAAAACTTGTTTAGCTTTGTTATAGATGAGCTGGATTCTGACAGGTCATAGGAAGAACACAGGATGTAATGTGTATTGATTAGTTTTCATGAATAATGACGGCCATTAGAAATAATGTCATCGCACTTACTTCTACAGATGATTTAAAGCATCTGTGTTTAAATATGTCAGCTTCCCACTGATCAAGGATAAAAATGAACATTGAGCCCAATCAGTTTACAAGAGCACCGTTTGGCTGTGGTAATCATAGTGCAGCTTCCTGTTGAAAAGGTCAAGGTCCTAGTCAGTCCTTCTTTCTTTGCTCGACCTGCATGTGTAAATCACATTCATCACGGCCTGACAGGATGTCATTAAGTGTCCTTTCTCACAGGAAACGCATCAGCATGCAAAGAAAGGGGACGAAACACACTAAAGCACACATGAATACAGGAAGCAGCAGAACAAGTGTTTGTATGTGTAGGATCGACAAAGTCCTTGCTCCTCACCTCTAGATCGATTTGTGTGTGTGTGCAAGAATGCATGGTCGTGTGTGTGTGTGTGTGTGTGTGTGTGTGTGTGTGTGTGTGTGTGTGTGCCCCCTACAGTGCACCATCTGCCCTGTGCCTGTCTGTAACCCCAGGCCTGCTTGGAAAGGACATAAGCGTTTCCCTTTTTTCGCACTGACCCTAAAGGCAACACAGTTAATCGCAGAGCTCAGTCAACATGAGGTCATACAGGAAATATCAACAGGGACTCCTATAGTCACACCACAAATAGAACCACAACAAGACAGTTAAAAATATCAGCTACACAGATGCTTTAATACTGTACTAATAACAGAGCAATTAAGAGTCCTTCACAATCTTTTCCTTGATTACTCAGCCCAGAGTCAACCTTCAACAGAAGCTAAGTGGCACCCTCCTGAGTGTCAGTGATGCAGTGAAGTGTTACACTGCTGTCACCCAGAGTGATCACCTCCAACCATCTCAACTAAGCCTTCATCATACGTCTTAGTATGAGTGCGTTTGTGTTTTGCAGCCGCTTCCCTCCATGTATTGAACATCTGTATAATATTGTAAACGCTTTCTATTTGTCTCTGCAGCCTCCTGCCAAGTTCCTCCTGCAGGAGGTCAGTATAGCAGACTACGGCAAGAACTGTGTAGTGATCGACCTGGACGAAACCCTCGTACACAGCTCTTTCAAGGTAGTTCCCCCCTCTCTGCAGCACACACACGCAAACATCACAGTTCACATTGTAATGTACAGACATTGATGTTGTGTTCTTTTTTCACCATTTCAGCTGTCTTTCGCTTTTTTTCCATCCAGGGATAATAGGATTATACCAAAATAAACCCTTGAAATGCCTTTACTTGCCGTGAACATATGTACTATGGCAGAGTGACAAATAGCATGAGCAACAGTGAATACCACTGAGCTTTGTCTGCATTGTTGGAACACAGTATGACAGGAAAGTATATCCCTGAGGATGTTGTTTGCTCTATCAGTTACAACGTGACAGGGTAAAAAGAAGATGTGCTGTAAATGTTATACAGCAAGGTGCTGGCATGGCTACCATTAAATCCTGGCCAGCTTTGTAAATCATTGATTTCATCAGCAATTCAGCGATTGACCATTTCAGTTGTTTGGCAGGAATCATATCTCTTTAAAAAGAAAAGATTTGCAGCAGCTCCAAAATGTCTGATTTTTACGAGCTAACAGGTTTAAACCTTTCACCACCAACCCCGACTGTGGGAGTCCACCTCCAGAAACAGACAAAATGATTATTTCCATGTGTCAGGCCCTTGCAATACGGGACATTTCTAAGGTTTTTCTCTGAAAAGATGTTTTTAAGCCAGTTAAAGGTTTTCAAGGTTCCTTTTTTTATGTGAGTCGTCCAAAGTGCACCAATCATTCTCTCTTAATTATCAGACTCTAGAACATGTGTGAATGATGCCTGTAAAATATATTTAATGGCTGAAAGCTATGAGACAAAATGAGAAGGTCTTTTTTTTTGGCCATTCTGTCAAAATCTGAGTTTAAAATTCTCTAATAGATACTACAAAGCTGTATCCCACGATCCCTCTGCTGACACACCTGGCACACCTAGTGACCCATTTCAGCATGCTCTGCCTGGGCCCCAGCTGATCTTATTACACCTGTGTGTTCTGTATCTGTGTCCCTTTTGTCCTCAGTGTAAGTGGTGAAAGTCAGAGAGAATTAGCTCAAGGTAAAGCTGAAGATTCTTTCATGTTTTGCTCTAGTTTTACTCAGTATTGAATGGACTGCAAGAAAAACACTGAGTTCTTTTTTGTACGATGAAAAATACATTTCTTACACTGCGTTGAAGGAGAAAAATGTACACGCACACACACACACACACACACACACACACACACACACACACACACACACACACACACACACACACACACACACACTGTAGTGGACCCACCCATTACAGTCCACAGTACAGGGCCACACACACTCATACAAGGGTGTGTCCAGTACACTGTACTGTTGCCTTGAATGACTGTGGACTGAATTTCTCAGAAAACATGGATCTGTTGTAATAGTCTGGAACTCTTTATTTTCTCTCCTGACAAAACAAATCAGAAACCCCTCACAGGAACTCCTTTTGATGAAACCCAGTTGCACAGTCCATCAGAATGCATTCATTTCAGAGATCAGTATGAGGTATGAAATGGATTCAGGCAATGCAGTAAATGAAAATCAGTTGGGAGAGGAAGAGAGGGAAACAGACATACTGAAAAAGCATTTTCAGTTATGTTCAGACCTTGGCAGGATATCCTCTAAGCTTCTATTTTTTTATATGAAAAGAGGTAAGGAGGTCATTTTGGATCAAAGAATGGAGGATTTTAGTTCTGAAATATGAACTTAACCGTATGAATTAGACAATTAGTGCAGAAAAACCACAAGAAGTAACATGGGGACATTACATGTGGAGCACAGATGGACAAAGACTAAAAAAAAAAAAACATTACATAACACGTCTCACACTATATGCTTCATCCTGTATGATACAAATGGAACAAAAAACATGTTTCCACTCAAGGATTAGTGTGTGTGTGTGGATGAGTTCAAGTGGACAATAGGATTACTATGCTTTTTGTAGCAATATAATTAAATTAAAAGGCTTTTTATCGATACAATAATAACAAAATTAGAACGATAATTTCTCCAACATTTCTCAAAACCAATGTCAAAGGGAGAAAAAATGAAATAAGATAAAAATGAGCTAGCTACACCAGCGCGGGAACAAAACTATTTTTAATCACTTTTATAAATCCTTAATTTTTCTTTTTTTTTTTTTTTGCACGTTTTTGTGCCCGACTGACAAAAGCATTTAGTAAATATTCATCATAAACTTTCTAACTCATATTAAAGATGCAGAGCAGAACTTGCCGTAAGTTCTTATGACCCAAACAGAAAACCATTTATTTATACTATTTATACTTTATACATTGGGATTGACCTCACCTGAAAGTTATAAAGAAACATTATGGACTAACTAAGGGTCATAGAACTGAAATGATAAGGTGAATACATGAAAAGTGGGTGTAGAGAAAATTAACTGGCATCCATTTCCATGATTGATATGTACTAAAAATATTTTTTTAAACATTTGATGGTTATTCTCTATGATAGGAAACTGAATTGGATTTTGGATAATAGGTAAACAATATAAGACACTTGATGGTTCAGCTTGCATGTTTTTCCACCAAATTTTGTTTATCAAGTGAGAAAGTAATCTGCATATTTATCCACAATGAATACAGTTGTTTAAACCTTAGAAGTCTTTGAATAAGTTGGTCCTTGTCTTGCCTAAGAGTAGCTGAAGAAGGTTTTTATGTGGATATACATGTGGTCATATTGTAGAATGCAGAGATGCAGTATTAGTACACAAGTATGAATACGTTTGGGGAGACTTGGCTCATCTACAGGTCATTTCAGACAGACTGTGTGTGGACAAAACTGCTGAAATGACAGTCTTTTATATGCATGTTTGTAAATGAAAATGTTAGTGTTGTGATATATCAATATAATGGTGACACTGGACCACAACCTGAGTGCTATCATCAATTTAAACTACCCAGAAGAAATTTCCCCATCAAGGCTGTTTCATCAGAAATCCATGAAGTAAACATTTGTATCACCCCTCTCTATCATTTCTCTCTCACATACATTTATCTCTCTCGCTCTCTTCAGTTCTATATCTCTCACCGCCTCGGATCCATAAGAGAGCTGCACCATGAGCAGCTGTTGTGTGTTCAGTTTTCAAATGATGATTTCAGTGATTCAGCCGGAAAGCAATACACAGATGCCAAGTCTGTTTCTGCGTCTCTTCCTCTTCCATCTGTGTCTTTCTCCTCTTCCTCTTCTCTTTTTAAAAGTTGAGTCAAATGCTGCCTGTTTGTTCTCTCTTCCCTGCCTGTTACTCGTTTGGCTTATTACTGGCACCATTTTCAAATATAAATGATCTAAAACCGTCTTTGAGTTTCTTGGTGTAAACATTAACCAGAGCTGAGTATGTAATAAACCCTGATTCTTGGAGGTTTGCACATCTGTCTTTGATTGTGCACTGACACACTCTTCATCAAACACAGAAACCAAACATCTGTAGTACAGAAGGTCTATTGTTGTGCCGTCAACGCCATAATGGTCATACTTGACAGATTACACAAGTGACAAGTAGAAGGTCAAAGTACTGCGTTTAGTATTCCTGCTGCAAACACCCCCTCTGTTGGATGGAACTGAAACTTGCTGCTGTAGTATGGAAGACAAATAGCATAAAATCCACTCACTCATGGGAAGGTGTGTTTTCATGGAAGTGGGAGGGAAGTAGTTTGAGAAACAAGGACAAGTCTGCCCTAAGAAATTGATTATACTCTACTTTAAATTCCCATTTAGCATTTACTGTAAGCATAAGGTTGAAGAAACAATGAACCAGTCGTTTATAACTAGGGCTGTCATACGATTAAAACATTTAAATGGCATTTTTAATCCCATGTTTGAATTTCCACTATTTCACATTTAAGTATGGAAATAGTTTTTACTGTCGTGTGCTGTAAGTACTTAACTTGCCATTTGAATAAGACCCTGCTTTTATTTCTAAATAAAATTAAGACCTTCTGATAGACGGTTACGACATTAACTTATCTAAGAAAAAAGGAACTCGTTAAGGATCAGAAACTAAATGAAAACAGCTAAAAGGAAAGGTAAAAAAAGAATGTTTGATCTCACAAGGCGGATATATCACTTTTGACTCGTCAACTGAGATCTCTTGGAGATTTTTAATGTGAACTGAGTCATCCAAAGACGCAGCATTGTTGTTCTTTTCCAATCACTGTGACTACAGTGAGACACTGCTGCGGCTTATCCAATTAGGGCCGACAGCCCTATTTATAACATGAATACATTTTCAAGAATGAATTTACATTAGCTGTATTGCAAACAATGAATGTCCCTTTCACAACATTTTTTATAATTGCCCTATTAGCCTGTGTCATTTTGAGTTTCACATTATTTTCAGACTCATTCCTGATTAAGCAGCAGCCTCAACTTAAGTGCTCAGACAAGCAGCTAGATGTTGAAGTACACCCACAATTTTTGAATAAGCTAGCTATACTGTAGGCTATAAGGCTATAGCATCTACAGTAGCTTAAGTTCACTCACAGCTAAAGCTGATAGACTTTAATGAACCTATTCACTGTAAAGGAAAAAAAAAACATTCTGATGCTCTGACATCCAACCTACTATTTATACTTCATAAATAAAACATTAGGTAAATGTAAAGGTAAATAATCATAAAAGAGAAAAAGGTACACAGGTACTGCTAAAGCTAGTAGCCTAGCTTAGATGCTACAGCCATCAAGAAGTTTGTCTGTTTTAATAAAAAAGGATTGAAGTTGAGATTTACTGACTGATAAAGTGGTTTAAATAGTTTTTGGATAATTAACTTTTAAACTAAGCAAACATATGACCAGCAGGTATGAAGACTTGTTTCGAAAGACGCAGACTATATTTAACAATTTCTTACCACAATCACATTTTTGACTGACTTTACACAGTTTCATCAAGAATGCCAAACATATAGCTAAGTACTGTTTGGAAATTCTATACCCTAATTTGACATTTGGCAATAAAGGCGAATGAACACAGTTGAGATTTGAATGATATAATCTAGGGTATTTGTACAGAGCGATTAGAGCTGCGTTTGAAACATCTACTCTGAGAAAAAGTTGCAGTGGTTTCCAAAGGTTGACTTGGCTCCCTATCATCTTCAGTAATGTCCAGCTACTGCAAGTTGGGAATATTTGACCATTAGCTACAAGTGCTTTTAGAGCTTTGATAAAAAAAAACTAGCTGTAGTTGGTCCCAGCAGCACTACACCCATGCAGAGCAATAACCGATTCACTGATACTTCCAAATGTACAGAGCGATTAGAGCTGCGTTTGAAACATCTACTCTGAGAAAAAGTTGCAGTGGTTTCCAAAGGTTGACTTGGCTCCCTATCATCTTCAGTAATGTCCAGCTACTGCAAGTTGGGAATATTTGACCATTAGCTACAAGTGCTTTTAGAGCTTTGATAAAAAAAAACTAGCTGTAGTTGGTCCCAGCAGCACTACACCCATGCCAGAGCAATAACCGATTCACTGATACTTCCAAATAATGCTCTATTCTTTTCTCTCTAAAACAAACTGTCCAGACAAGTGACAGACGAGCTCTTACAGAACACCTTTCTTTGCGCTTCTTTTAACTCACAGAAGCACTTTTCTATCTGTGTCACCTATTTTTCCTTCTCCCCCTTTTCCAAAATGACACCGCTGTGCCTCCCACCTAATCCTTTCATCCTTGTCTTTACGCCCTCCACTTGTCTTCCACCCACAACCCTCTGGCACCTATCTTCCTCTACCTCCTGCACCTCTCCTCTCCTCTCTCCTCTTCCTAGCTTCTAAAGATGACACAAGTCACGCTGAGAAAACGGGGGGCGCTCCTCCTGATCATGTTCACGTCACTCATCTTGTTCAACTCCCTGGAGTCCCCCCTCTGAATTCTACTTAACACTGAGCTACAGAGCACTGGAGCAGAGGGATCCACATTATGCTTAAATACATTCTACTTTGCCTGGGGAAACTGACAGGAGAATTTTACCCTTTTCATTTTTTTTTCCAACAGAAGTGTTGGTATGTGTTTTAGCTGCACCCTTTTTAATTCTTTCTCTGCTTCTTGTTTTCCCGCAGCCTATCAGCAATGCAGACTTCATCGTTCCAGTGGAGATTGATGGGACTGTTCATCAGGTACAGTTGCACTGATATGAAGAACTTCCTGAATGATGGCCTTTAATTAAACATAAAGTGTTCATTTGTAGTATTTCCCTTAGAAGCTGGGTCTCTTATTTTCTCCCTCTGTTATGTTGCAGCTGCGGCAAAAAAATGACATAGCTCATACACTCCTACAGGAACTAACCGTGCTAACTGATCTGTTCGCTGACTAGAGATGTTGTGCTTATATTTTGTAGTGTTTTGATCTTGAAGGTGTCCTGTTTGAAGCAGCATCAGCTGTACTGTAGCTGTGACCAGGTTCAAGTAATCCAGGATAGGCTTTCTGTATCTGTCTTGGCCTATGCTTGATTACTTGCACTTGGGGGCAGCAACTGAACCCATGCAGAGTCCTGCTGAAGAGGACGAAGACGAGCAGAATGGCACATGTTAACACATAGTAATCTAAAACTGTAAGACTTTTGCATGTCTACTTAATTTCAAAGTCTCTTATTAGCTTAAAAATGTTTATAAAAGTGCAAATCTTCTTTTCAGGATATTCAGGGTCATTCTAAAAGAATGCTGCACACATGTTTGCTCGTCATCGCAACACAGGAGGAGTTCAAACAAACAGACATGGTAGTTGTAGCTCATGAGCCACACTGAAGGTTAAGAAACTTAAGTGCTATCAAATGGATGATGTCATGCCATGCTCAAGGTTTGCAATTCTTGAGATGTGAGGAATCTGACAAATAATTATCATTTCACTGCTTTGTTATTTATTAGTTGGAGAACAGACAGTTGATTAGAGCATAATTCAGGTTTAAACAACATGTTCTGAAACCCACTGCTGTTTTATGTGTTACTCAAACACATCCTATAGCTGAAAGGTACTATCTAACAGTATTGTTGTCTAAGGAATTGTTGATTGTTCGACCACATTAACGTGTGGTCAAAGACGTTTTTTTAAGGTTATTTTGGGGCTTTTTATGCCTTTATCGTTGAGAGGACAGTGGGTATAGTAGGAAACTGGGATGAGAGAGAGTGAGGAGTGAAGAACGGCAAAGTGCAGAGGGTCAGAATCGACCACAGGCAATCCGCTTCAAGGACTGTAGACGCTGTGCGTGGGTAAGGCAATATAACCACTAGACCAGTGGTACCCAGCCTTGTTAGACTTAAGAGCAAAAAATGGCCAATAAGTATTTCTGAAAGAGCCACTAATAAAAAACATCTTTCTTTCCTAAAATATTTGTGGGAAACAAAGTGACATGACTTGCAAAGAATGATTTCTGCTGACAATGTTTCCACTTTTTTAAATAATTACTTTGGATTTTTTTTCTCCAAGTAAGACCTTATAGAGCCTCAGCTTTAGGATCACTGCACTATACTATCCGCCACCCCTTTAATATCTTGTCTTACCTTGAAATATGACCCTATGTCCCTCAAGATTTTTTTTTACTATCAACTGCTTTTCCTGCTGATCAGTTGGGAAGCCTTTAAATGGTAGCACTTTTTAAGGTTTTATATTTTTATGAAACTTGCAAACTGGAACACTACTGTAGTGGACCCACCCATCACAGTTTGCAGTACACACACACACACGCTCACACAAGGGTGTGTCCAGTACACTGTACTGTTGCCTTGAATGACTGTGGACTGAATTTCTCAGAAAACATGGATCTGCTGTAATAGTCTGGAACCTTTTATTTTCTCTCCTGACAAAACAAATCAGAAACCCCTCACAGGAACTCCCTTTTTTTTTCCTTTTTCCCTGGAGTATTACATTATCACAGCATTTGAGCTTTCCACCTTGAGTGTGACGTCACAGGAAAATTGCTTTAAAGTGAATTTGGTTACCTCAAGCAGCCCATGAACAAGACATCGAGTAAACAGTGGCCAAATGCTTTTGTCCCACCAGACATTTAAGCAGCAGCTGTTGACATTAAGGGCTCAAATACACATTTTGACTGGTACTTAAAAAATCTTACGTTTTGAAACTTGGCTTAAAAGGTGTGTCTCTTTGTCTTCTTTTCAGGTGTATGTGCTAAAGAGGCCCCATGTAGACGAGTTCCTCCAGAAGATGGGGGAGCTCTTCGAATGTGTCCTCTTCACAGCAAGCTTAGCCAAGGTTTGTTCAACGTTTGAGCTCTAAGACACCACAGACATTCTGACTTTGCCTCAAAAACACTTTTCATCTTTTTGGTTTGTTATAGTATGCTGACCCTGTGGCAGACCTGCTGGACCAGTGGGGGGTGTTCCGCGCCCGGCTCTTCAGGGAATCCTGTGTTTTCCACAGAGGAAACTACGTCAAAGACCTCAGCCGGCTGGGCCGAGAGCTCAGTAAAGTCATCATCATAGACAACTCACCTGCCTCCTACATCTTCCACCCTGAAAATGCGGTAAGTCAGCCCTCAGATTGATGGCGGCGGTTCTAAAATCGACTTTAAGCTTTCATCATGGAGCATTGAGCCTCTGATCCTAGATATTGTGTTAAGGAGCCTCAAATACATATTCCTTGTCGTGAGTTTACAAATATCAGAAAATAATGAGCTCCTCCTGCCTCAGAGTCTTTTTTTGTGGCTCATGTGAAGCTAGAATGTTACTGCTATTTCACTCATTCAATATATTTATAACTTGATCTTGAGTGTGATATAAATGCATGACATGTTCCATGTTACGGTGTGTTTTTAGATCTCATACAATCCTGACTAACACGGGGTCAAAGTTCACAAGAAAGAAATTATTAATAAACTTCATAGTTTATTAATAATTTAATAAACTAAAGTCACTACAGTGATTATATCTTCCAGAAAGATTTGAATCTGAACTGTTGACTTAAAAGCAGCTTTGAGCTGGAGGCAGTGTTCCCAATATTATGACATGTTTCTCCTCTGCTGACGTTTCTCAGTGGAGTTGCTGCCACTCTTCATGCCTTTGATGTATTTCCCCACATTAATTATTTGCACAAATCTCGCAGCATCTCCTCACCTGTTACGCAACGCTTTTGCAGCGGCTGTGTTTTCTCTCTCGATTAAAACATGTCAATCTGGCTCTTCTTCTCCTCCCACCAGGTCCCAGTGCAGTCCTGGTTTGACGACTTGACGGACACAGAGCTGCTGGATCTGATACCGATGTTCGAGGGCCTCAGTAAGGAGGACGACGTTTACAGCCTGTTACACAGCCTGAGGAACAGGTAGCAGACAGCAGCTCCTTCCTGCATAGTCGCCCCATCCCTGCTGCACAGAGGCCTCACCTCGCTGCCACGGGCCCTGCAGCCCGGCTCCCAGGAGTCCCAGTGTGACCCCAATCTGAGGACTTCAGGCAGTTCTGGTCATAATGACATCTAGAGACAGCAGCTGATCTCTGTACTCTTGGACCCTTTGTACAGGACTCCTACTGACAAAAGATTCTATTACTGTATGTACATACTATATGTTTCTAAGAGCAAGACATACATAAAGTAATTTTTCTATCAGAGAGAGGAGGTTTTACTATTCTATCAAGTAATATTTTAGTTACCAAAAATAATCAAATAGACAGAAACAAAACGTTTTTTTTTTTCTTTTTTCGAGAAGGAGTGACTTTTCGTTTGTTTTTTTTTTTTGTGTTGAGCTGTGCAATGCAGGCTGTCGTTTCTCGTCTGACCTTTTGTTCAAACAACTGTGATTTCTCTTCTCTTACAGAATGAAGTGCCTTCATTACTGTGCTGATTTCGTTGTGTCAGGTTATGGGGTGTGCGTTTTAATGCTGCATATTTACTCAAATTTCCGAAAGCATACGGTCTAAATCCTTGAATTTAATTTGGAAACAAGTCTTTGGTGATTGTGAATGAATCTAGTATAATGACAAAAAATATATATATATATAACTACCCTGTTAGATACGATGACTCTTTGCTTTTGAGTTTGGTGACATTGAATTGTTAAACTTACCAAAGATTGTTACAATTCAATGTGATTTGTGATTGAATGCCGTCATTTGATCCTTTACAGTGGCTGTAAATTGATGACCCTTAAAGATATTGAAACCCCCCCCTGTTATTTAAAAAAAAAGACAAAAAAGAAACCTTTGTAATGACTTCACTGTCCACCAATAAATGTTCAACTTTTGAAGACAATATCAAGAATAGCTTAGATTAAATGAAATTATATTTATTGGGGAAATGGGGTTGGGTGCATTGTAAAGACTGCTGTTGAAATCGTACTGTACAACATTATTAAAGTTGCAGGTTTGCACACTGTCCCTTTGTAGCATGGTGTAATGACTTTATTCAACCTTAAAGGATATGAATGTCAAATTTTGTATTAACATGGAAAGTTGCAGGAAACATGCAGGCTGGTCAAAGCTCAAACCAGTAGAGATGATGGATGCTCAGCTGAGTATTACGCAACACTTCACTGACCAATTGCCTTGACTAAAACAAAGCTAAAACAAAGTAAATATTGGACTTTTAGGCCCCTTGTCCACCTCGCTACCTTTTCTCAATTGTTTCCAATAAGGAGAGAGTTTTCGCAGCAGAAAGCAGCCGCCCAGAGATGAAGAAAAAGCGCAGCACTTCGCCTTTTTGTTTGGACGTCAAGTAAAAATCTTTGAACTTTTCAGAAAGCCTCTGTTGACGTCAGCGGTGCTCTTTTCCAAATGTGTGATGTTCCCTGTAGTTTGGGATTGTGTCTTGTGCCCACATCCTCTTTGCTCCGTGTCTGATCGGGAAATAAATGATCTTTAAATTAAAAACAATGCAGTAAAAAATAACAGTGTCGGTCATACAGCGGTCGTTGTCAACAGACTGTTGTCATAGAGACAGGATGGATGTGCAGTGCTTTTCACGCTTCATGCAAGCGCCCCCGAGCACGCAGCCAGCGTTTTTTTTTGCTGAACCCGGGGGTGAGTAGATAAGTCATTTATAAACATGATTCTAGTGAATGCTAATGTTGCTTCATGTCTGCTGAATGTGTTTGAGCAACTTTCACACATTCACTCAAAGGTGACGATATGTCAAGTTCTTTCTACAGGTTGTTTTTGTTGCCTCCTAGATGCTGGAAAACAAGACGCATGACAATTGATAAGCAAATTTTCAAATATTTAACGTGTTTAAATTGCCATGAAAAGGTTCAAAGGCCACTTTTTGACTTGGGAAACAGACATTATAACATTTTCACTTGTGGGGCCTTTTTCCTAAGCTGTCACAGAGCATGATCAAAGGATTGGTTTGCTGGTTTCTGACGAGACAAATGTGATTATTTAACCCAATGTGGAAGACCTTGACGTGCCCCCTAAAAAAAGAGACATTTAAAAAAAAATCTTATGAAGGAATTGTTTCTGTTTCAACAATTTGTTTTCTTCTTTAGTCTTTTGAAAGTATGAGGAAGACACTGAGCTAATATTAACTGTATTTATGAAAAAAAATCTGATTTACTTGTAAGTGAAAAGGATTGAAACTGATATAATCAAAAGAACAGAAAAGGAAAAATGTGTTTAGGACATTTAATTGTTTTATTCTAAAGGACAAAGTGCCTTCTTCCACAGAGGCTCCGGCTCCTTAGTTAAATGATCTGCAAGGTGCATTAATTGTATGGATATAAACTGGTTAATGTGCAACCAAGAGGCACTAAGCTTCATGTGATATCTTGATGTGAACTTTTAGCTTCCGCTTACGTAGCAGCCACTTTAACTGCTGCAGTGGATTAGGCATTACAGAGCCTATTGTTCAAGCCTGTTTCCCCCCCCCCACCCTACCTTTAATTTCCCACTTGTCCCTCAGAAATGTGTGTGGACAGAAATTCTCCACGTTGTTGAAATGACCATACTGTCATGATGGAGTTCAGGACTGATTCTAAACATGAAAAGCCGTGGTCAAAGGTAAGAAAAAACTTAAGCCCGTTCGCTTGTGAAGCTGTTGGTTAAGAGGAGAAATCAGGTTAGTTATGCAACGATCTTCCTCTCAGACTCGATGGCAGGGATTGTGTGAACAACATGAGTCAAAGACGAGTGTAATGCTTTCACAGGAAATGTCAGCAGGGAGGCTGATGTGTGTTCCATGCACTGGCTGCAACGTGTAGCAGCAGCAGCAGGATTTTACAGATTGTTTGCACAGTTTGGAAATGTTCAGGGAGCAGAAGCAGGGTTTCATACTTTGGGGAATACTTTATATTTGATCTGCAACTGTTTCAGGGTTTAGATGTTAAAGCAATTAACCCACAATTGATTTCTCTTATATCTTTCCATTAAATTCCCTGTTTGACTTACATCCACGCTCTGCAAAAACTGTGCAGAATTCTTTGTATGCAGCATGTTAACACGTTTCCACATTGAACAAACAAATGCTTGCCATGCCTCCTCTGTTGGGAGAACAAAGCACCGAGCTGCAAACCTTCAATAATGTCAAGTGTTTCTCCTTGAGTGTGTGAGAGGAGGCACAGAAGGAGAGGTTTAGCCACAGAAAGCCTCAGATTCCTCTCTAATACTACTCGGGGCTCCTTGAGTGAACCCCATTTGCTATACTTGTAACAGTTGTGACATGAATAATTGGCGTCAAGTGGCCCCTGTTACCACCCGCTGTGCTTCTGACGGCTCAGTCGGACATGAAAACAACACTGGCTGCCTTCTTAAAGCACAATCAGGACCTTGAGTGAGGCTTGAGTTCATCGAAGTCCAAGTATTGTGGATGATTTTCTCAAGCATCACGACTTTGCAGTACATTACTCCCTTCACTCATCCTGAAAACGAGCCAGCCTCCCTACAGCAAATCACATTTTTCTGTTTCAGAGGTGACTGGGCAACAATGCAGGAAGAGGCGTGTTTGAGGTTGATGCACTGTAAATATCCAGGCAGGAAATTGCAGGTGTGTTCAAACTTGGGTGTGGAGACAAATACAGCCAGCCCCAATGTCCATAGCGCACTCCATCTGGCACACGAGAGGGAAAGCTATAGGGATACTCTATTACATTAATTCAAAATCTCACTAATCTTACTCCACAATTTGTAGGGGACACACAGGTTTTTACCCCACCAGACACAGCACAAGGTAAGAGCCATACTTTTATTTTTGTGATTCATTTCACAAGGTTATTTTTTTATTTTATCTCTCTAAATGTTTCTGTCTGTAATCACTTTGATTTACAAATTACAAAATCATTATAGGTCTATTTCCCATTATTATTGTTGTTGCAAATAAAATCTGTAAAATAGATGTTGTGGGGTGTTTTTCAACTTACACACTGCAGTGCAAAATCAAGATATGATATCATTAAGTATTAACAAAGCCCATTGTGTATGCTGAGTCAATGGACACCGCAACTTAATTGATGTGAAACCAGTCTTTCCTGCCACAATAATGGACGCAGCGCTGGTCGTCAATTTTTCTTTTCATAAAATTGTTTGTTTAAGTTTTTCATTTATTCTGAACGGTTTCAGGTAGCACGGCACAATGGCTGTTTTTTTTCATTCACAACAGGGAGTAGTTGCTACGGCCTCCAAAACCATCAATAATCATCACAATTTCATCATCCGTTAGTTCAACTGAATGAAATAAGTCAAAGTAAAAGAGGGGCTGAGGGTGGTATCCTACTTGTGTTTGACAGTATTTAGATTATGTTACAAACGTATTGAAGTGGTTTGCTTATCATGAATACGTTAGTGATGAAAACAGATTTGTTTGTCGTACCGATTTTTTAAGAAATCTAGTCTTGACAAATAGACTGCACTGTCAAATGAATAACACGTTAAGGAGAGCTGTTACAATATTTATATGGTTTGGGTGTGGCCTCCTCTTTGCCAACACAACCAATATGGCCAATAGATAAAAAGGCCTGTTAACTAATCCGACTTTAAACATTAATTAAAAAAATATATATATTAACCATATTAACCGTCTGTGAGATCATTTATGTAATGTTTCAGTATCTATTTCATTAAGTTGAATGGGAGCATGTGCAAAATGAAACATAATTGTTTGATTTCATTTGATATGAATTTAGTTAACAGCTCATTTTCACTTGCTGTTCTTTTGTTGAACACATTCAATATCTTGGATTCAACAACAGGGTTGGCCTAGTGGTTAGTGTGGTCTGAGGCTGTAGCCCTCCAAACGGGTGGCCTGGGATTGAATCCGACCTGTGGCTCCTTTCCACATGTCATCCCCACTCTCTCTCTCTCCCTGATTTCTGACTTTATCTTCTGTCCCGTCTCTAAATAAAGGCATAAAAAAAGCCCCCCCAAAAAACCCATTAGAAAAAGAGCTACATGGTTGGATACACAGTGTCAAATTAAATATATTACACTTACGACAGTACATCACATAATGCATTAACCAGGGGTTCCCAAACTGTCTCTGTGTAGTTCCATAATCACGCTTTTAAGCTACTAATAGAACTGTAACTTTTTATATCACATAAGATGTTGTGAAGTTATCCCTGCATGAGTCAGTCTTTTCCTCTTGGTCCTCCTTCGACTCACACACCAACTGAAGTTTGATTTAGCAACTTGAGCCAAGCCCTCTAATTTAATAGATTTCTTGACTCTTTTTTTGTAAGCATAGTATGTGTCACCCCTTTATTACATCAATCATAAAGCCTTGATAATATTAATAAAGGGAGTGGTAAACATGCTGGTAGAATACAGCTGACCTGACCCAGCCTCACCTTACACCACCCACTCCATCAATCACTGCCTCGGAAAGACGTTTTTATACCTATACCTGGAGCAAAGATTAGATTCTGATGCAACGTGCAGTATATGAACCATATATTAAAGCTGGGTTATTTCTTAGGGGAATATCCGCAGCTATAGCTCCTCCAGCTATCTGACAATCGATTCATATACATGGATCCTGTATTTGCATTCATGATGTGTTGGCGGCAGCTTGACATCCCCCTCATCCTGTTTCCATACGGTGCGTTAGCTTTAAGCATATATTCTTGGCTCAGCTGCTGTTACAGTGTGTTTGCTTATCACTGCTGTTGTTTTTGATATCTCAGTCAGGAGGCTATCTGAGCAGAACTGATAGCAGAACTTCAAGGTTGCTATGGCGCCAAGCTGACACTCATTAGGGGGATTAGAGGTGTTTTGCCGTCAGAGATACTTTCTTTTGAAATGGTTCACTTGACATGTCAGAGACATCCGTTTCAAGTGAAAAGATAGGAAGCTCGAAGAAGATGATCAATGAGGAGGAGGACACTTGAGAAATGCAATATTTGTATGTTGAGGTACTTTGGATGACTCTCAATTGAATGTTTTCCTATCTACTATTTAGGGTTCTGATATGTAGGGGCATACTCAGCATTATTAGTGCCATGATTCATGGTATCCAGAACCCCACAAAATATTAAAACTCATAACTCTGCAGTCCCCACTTCTCTACAGAGCTCTTCATACCTAATCTTCACTTTGTGTTTTGATATTATTCACCCACACTTGATTCACTTTTTCATTTTTATTTAGTTTTACATTAGAGAGAGATTTATCATTTATCATTTTCCCTCAGAATTTAATCATATCAACTCAAAGAGGGGGGATAAGTTGCTCATTCAAATGTTTACTTAACAGTGTTTTATTTTCAATCCAATACAATTAAGCCTAAACCAGCGGACATCTCCCTGTCCTTTTTTTTTTTTTGTACACAGCCCTAGCGCTGTAAAAGGAAACCAAACAATGGAGCTGACATATCACCTGTGTAGTGTGCCTTAATGCATACATCTGTAATAAATCGCTGCATCATTGGAAGTTAAAAACACTTAGATTTCTAACCTTTTCCTGCCCTATGTTTTATTTTTTTCCAGTTCAGCAGAACGATGAGTGATGACAGTCAAGACCCATTTAGAAATGTTCACCAAAAGCCAGGCCTGCAGATATGGACCATCAATGTAAGTTAGCCTGAAGATAAACATTATACAACCCATGTTAGTGTTTAACTGTACTTTGCTTAGCAGATAGTGTTCTCATCTTATTTTAGAGCCAGATTTCTTAAATATCAAAGTAAGTGTTGTTTTTCTCTTGCTCAGAACATGCAGATGGTGCCAGTTCCAGCCAAGGGCTTCGGTAACTTCTTTGAAGGAGACTGTTATATTGTTCTCTATGTGAGTACAACACTGCCCGATTTTCCAAGAGACATGAGTGAATGAAGACATGTGATTTATGCATGATTTGCAAGTTTGTATGGAAGTGTGACTGTGTCTCCCTCTGTGTTTTCACACCAGATAAGTCAGAACAAAGGCTCAGGCCGGTCAGCTGACATCCACTACTGGATAGGAAAAGCCTCCTCTCAGGATGAGCAGGGTGCAGCGGCAATCTTCGTCACCCAGCTGGACGAGCACCTTGGTGGGAGTCCTGTCCAGCACAGGGAGGTGCAGGACTGCGAGTCCCCGCGGTTCAGGAGCTACTTCAAAAATGGCCTCATGTGTGTAAAAGACAAGGGCTGGTGTATGAGCTAGAAGTGGGTGGTGACTAAAGAGAGGGAGTCACATTTGTGCTGTAATCTTCCTGGGACGGGGTTTACCAGAGTAAATCCTCTACATGGAATCATGATGACACAAATTAAACTTGTTTTGTTGGGGCTAAGCTAAGAAAAACAGAGTTTCCTCAAGCCCAATTCATAAACCTCTTAGATTTCATTGGGTTTTTCCTTCATGTTAATGTTTATTTAAGGTACTACATTTTAAAAACTGCTCCTACATGTAGCTGTTTTGTCACTCATCCTGCTTTCAATCAGCTGTTATTGTTTTATCACACTTGAACTTTAGCAACTAATCTCTCCACAGCTATAAGAAAGGGGGAGTGGCTTCAGGTTTTCAACATGTTGACCCAAACACCTACAATGTCCTGAGACTGCTGCACGTCAAAGGGAGGAAGCATGTCAAAGCATCAGAGGTACGCAGCATGGAATAAAAAAAGGGCTGTGGAGGGGATTAATTCCGCCTGCCAAGTAGTCGGGAATTGTGATTAAGGGAGGGGTGGATTATTTTCGGCAGGTGCTAAAGGTTTTTGCCAAGACAAACAATGACAAACAATAATACAAAAGAAAAACAAGGTAGTGATCCAAATAAAGTTAATAAATGAACAACGCAAGCACAATAAAAAACATGCTTCACAACTGACAAAAGTAGATGTATACAAAAGTTCAAAACAACAATTCATCACAGTGGCTTTCAAAATCTTCACAAAAACCATTTGTGGACTGACAAAATAGGCTTCTTTAGCTTTGAGTAAAACAGCATTGTAAGCCTTAGCACTTCATTGTGACTTTGGAAAAGGGACTGCACAACTCCTGGTAGCTAGCATCTGCCTGCTAGCTGTAGCTTATGGAGGAGGTCCACAGCCCAAGGCAGAAGAAGCGTTCCATTAGCTAACACTTAGCATCCTAATTGAATTAGCAGTGTTTGCCGCTGACGACATTTTTTTTGCTATTTCTTGTGTTCTCATCAAGGCGGGGTTAATAATCTGCTGATTAACACAATGTAATGTATTTTACCGTAAAGATGTGACACTTGAGTAAGTCATAGACAATAAATTGTAATTGTAATGTTCAACAATACAGATCAAACAATGAATCAAAATTTTCAAGCAACAACGTTCAACGGTCACCACGTGTGTCACTTTCCTTACACGTTAATCATAATTGTTTTTCCATTACTTGTTTTTTTCCTAATTTTTCGTATTGCAACAGTGTGCATGCTTTATTTGAAGTAAAACGGAAGTTTGTGTGCATATTTGCAGGTGGAGGTATCATGGAACAGCTTTAACAACGGAGACATATTCCTGTTGGATATGGGAAAAGCCATAGTTCAGTGGAACGGCCCCAAGAGCAACCGGAGAGAGAAGCTCAAGGTAATCCATCATTCAGAATGTTTATAAAAAGAGCAGAAGAAACAAAAAGTTACATGTTGTACACAGAAATGTTCTGAAACTTTAATGGACAACATCCATTTGAATTTTTTTGAATCTTTAAATGTAAACTTTCAGACCTGTCAGAGAGGAATTTCAGTTAAATTTAGAGAATAATTTTAAACGTTCATGTTCATTTTCAGGAATCTTTGTAGGCTTTTCTCAGCGATTTTCATGGAAAATGTACATAGCTTTCTTTTTCTTAATTAAGATTGGGCTCTTTGACATTATTTTATTGGACAGAAAATGTGGGGAGAAGAGTGAGGGTTGATGTGCACCAAATAGCTTCAGAAGCAGAGGTTGATCTTGTAAACTTTCTCCGGAATTTTTTCAGGAACTTACATAGACAGGCTCCTTAAAACTGAAGTAAAGTCTTGTTACTTATTTAAGAACCCCCCCCGTTTTTTGCAGGCGGTCTTGTTGGCTCAGGACATCCGGGACAGAGAGAGAGGAGGTCGGGCTCAGATTGGTGTTGTGGAGGGAGGAAATGAGAATGACTCCCCAGAGCTTATGAAGGTCATGATGGCGGTGCTGGGTCAGAGGAATGGGCCGCTCAGGGAGGCCATTGCGGATGACCAAACTGACAGTGTGCAGAGCAACATGGTCAGACTCTACCAGTGGGTACTTTTACTTCATCTGTTAAATCAGTGCGCTGCAACATGCTGGGAATATTTTGGCCACTAAATGAAAACATTTGCTTTTTTTTTTCTTCAGTGTTTTTGAAAGTAGTGGGAATCTTGTGGTTCAAGAAGTGGCCACGCAGCCTCTTACACAAGACCTGCTGCACTCCTCTGTAAATATCTTTTATTCTTCTAAAGTGTTTCTTTAACACTGAAATTATAGTAAACTGGTCCAATCTAATGTTTTCGCCCTATTACATTCAGGACTGTTACATTTTGGACCAGAGAGGCTCCAGTGTAATGGTTTGGAAAGGCAAACAAGCCTCCAATGAGGAGCGGAGAGAAGCGCTAAACAGGGCAGTGGTGAGTGGACTATATGACTAAATGTCACACTCAACTAGAAAACAATCTAATGAAGTAGGCATACTTTAGGTCAAGATAAATGTCCTTTTCTTTGTACATGTTTTCAGTAATGTGGTTCTCTTTTCTCAGCAGGCTCAACAGATATAAGTTATCAAAGTCATAAAAATAGTCTTTTCTTCCAGGGTTATATCAAAGCCAAGAACTATCCCTCCAGCACCAGTGTGGAGGTGATGACAGAGGGTGGAGAGTCAGCTATGTTCAAGCACTCGTTCAAATCCTGGAAAGAAAAAGGGCAAACCTGGGGTCTTGGTACCACCTACAGCGTGGGAAAGATAGGTAACCTCTACATAACCTTTAATGAATATGCATCTGGATCAGTTAGCTTTTATAGCTTATATTCTCTTACAGTACAGACTGTTGATACTGAGTGCTAGTGCAGGTTAAAATAGGCACGAACAAAGAAACCATAAATCTAGGTACTTTGGAGCCTATTGAAAAAATGTCCAATAAAACCATAGCATTTAAGAGATAATAGGACCTTTACCTCTTCATTTTATCACATTATTTTGGTTTATTCAACACTTCAAGGGAAGATTTTTTTTCTTAACAATTCATATGATGATTCATTTCTCATACTGAACACCTTGGGTCTCCTTACAGCAAAAGTAGAGCAAGTGAAGTTTGATGTGATGCAGCTCCATGCACGTCCTGAACTGGCAGCAAAGCAGCGCATGGTGGATGATGCCACTGGAGATGTGAAGGTTAGGATCAAAAAGAATAAGATAAATATTGGTGCTCATGTGTGTATCATTCGAGGAAGAGAGGTAGGCTGAAACGTTTTCTTTACATTTTTGTCTATTTAAATGTCAGGTGTGGCGTATTGAGGACTTGGAGCTGGCGGAAGTCAATCCAAGCACATATGGACAGTTTTACGGAGGAGACTGCTACTTGGTGCTGTACTCATATCAAAGATCACACCAGCAGCAGTACATACTCTACATGTGGCAGGTCAGTGTTATCACAGAAGGAAGGTATTCCTTTTATTTATTGCCCCCATGATGGAAATAGTCATGGCCTGAACCTTTGAGTTTTCCGTATTTGTTCCTCCATCTTTGTCTGTCTATAATTGACTTGTAACTTCTTTTGAATGTGATGTCACAACAACCTGGGTGTTCTGCACAAAAGTCCACTTAGAGCAAAGGATGAAGTCAAGATCAACCTCAAATCATTTTTCTGTACAATTCTCCCATCTAATTTCTTGTGATCTTGAAAGCTCAGGAAAACAAAGACTCACTATCTTTGAGTCATTAGGAATAAACTGATAAGATATTGATGGTCAAAGGCCAGGGTTATGTCCGTTCCTTTCTTGTAACTACTAGTCATAAAGAGTCCAGGTTATTAACTGATCCACATTCACATTTAGTCTTTACAGAATGAACATGCAACATTGTGAAAACTACAGAATAAAGAAGACAATTTCAAACTAAAAGATTAAAAAAAATAACATAAAACAAATACTCTGTGTGTCTTTTAATGTATTGTAAAATGAAGAACGATAATAAAGGGACCAATGGAAATGTAAAAGGTTGCCTTTTACACCCACTCTATCTCTCTCTCTCTCCCTCTCTCTCTCTCTCTCTCTCTCTCTCTGAGTCATGCGACTCATACAATACAATAAAACGTTATCAACTCGTAAAAATGTAATGAAGAAAACATAATAATGACTTTGACTGAAAAAATGAACCAAAACATAGTAAACCAGATGTTAAGCTTTGCAGATTACATGAGATGAGTCGACTAACATGTTGGTTCATGTTTCTCCTGTAGCTTACCTGATTGTGCTGAACCCCTATTGCTAAATGTAGGCCTGTGTATTTTGCTGTTTTGATTTTAGGGTTACATTTTTCAAAGATTTCGATATAGGCTACAAATGAACCACCTGTCCCGTATGTCTCAGCTGAATTCCACGACTGTGTTGGAGACGCAGAGATCGGAAACTGCAACTGTACCAGTAGTTCTAGATTGTCTGTCTCTCTCCTTTAAAAAAAAAAAAAAGTTACCCTGTTCTAACTTGTTGTCCATGTTGTTTTGAACCAGGGTCGCCACGCCACTAAAGATGAAATCACAGCTTGTGCCTACCAGGCTGTGAACGTTGATAGCAAGTACAATGGAGCCCCAGTCCAGGTCAGGGTGGTCATGGGAAAGGAGCCTCGACACTTCCTGGCGATTTTCAAAGGCAAACTCATCATATTTGAGGTATGATTCTTCACAAAGTAGAATGAAGTAGACGCTTCATTACACATGCTCAAATGCACAACCATTTCTACATTTGGTTTATGTAGGCAATTGTAGCGGAACATTTGGGGAACTATTATAGATTTTTTTTTTCCCTCTTAGAAAAAGCAATACAAAGAAGTGATCAGGATAATGCACACATAACCTCTAGAAACTAGAAACTGAAGAAAGGACGTTTTTTGTGTGTTTATTATTGCTTAGAGATCATCTGTGTGCACTTTTTCTGTGTCTTCAGGGAGGTACAGGCCGACCTGGTGTAGTCAACCCTGACAAAGATGCCAGACTGTTCCAGGTGAGAGGGACCGAAGAGCTGACCACAAAGGCCACTGAAGTGCCGGCGATGGCCTCGTCTCTCAACACCAACGATGTTTTCCTGCTGAAGACCGGCCACACATGCTACCTGTGGTATGGAAAGGTGTGTGTAAAAAAAAGCCTCGCACGAACAGAATTTTTAGAAAATGCAAATCTTACTTTGCATTTTCACACAATCGCGTGTGTATGTTTGATGTCTGCGTTCTTTGTGTCTCCAGGGCTGCAGCGGGGATGAGAGGCAGATGGGGCGAGCCATGTCTGATGTGCTGTCCAAGCAGGACAAGCAGGTGGTGATGGAGGGCCAGGAGCCAGCTAAATTCTGGGTCGCTCTGGGAGGAAAAGCCCCCTATGCTAGTGACAAGAGGTAACTCAGACAGCCAGCAGCAACATAACACCTTTGAATAAAGAAATATTGTGATTTTACTTTTTTAAGAGACATCTGACTTTGGCTACTCTGCAAACTCTGCTACTTGTATTTTTTCACCAGCCGATGAGTATTCAACATAGAGCTTTTAGTTCTCTACATATTTTCTTTTTATTCTATACAATAGTAAATAAAGCATAAAATGACATTTACACTAAGCTATAAGGACTTGTCCTAAAAAAAAAAAAACTGGTCCAAAAAGCTTTTTAATCATGTTTTGAGACATTAATAAGCTTACATTTAAATCTGCATGGATTATTCTTACATCAAGGTCAGCAGAATATACCCAATGTCGTATTCCCCCTCACCAGCACATTCATAAACAGAGCAGATTACACTGCTGCGATGACAGCCAGTGCTGTTGTGTTGTTTCAGACTGCAGAGGGAGGAGCCTGCTTACAGTCCCCGGCTGTTTGAATGCTCCAATCAGAGCGGTCGGTTTAGGATGACCGAGGTGGAGGACTTTAGCCAGAGCGACCTGGACGAGGAAGATGTCATGCTGCTGGACACCTGGGAGGAGGTGAGAGGTTAAAGGAGCTACATTCGGCCAGAGCTTGAGTGGATGTCAGAAATACAGCCCTCGTGAATGTTAATTATCTACGGATAACAGTTAAGAAGATTGTTTTCCTGATCATTAGACCTATATGAAAATCTGAGAGAATAAAATATCATCTGCAAAGAAAAATGTGAATGGCTGAAATGTCTTAAGTTAGTTGTACATTGTGAGAGAAACACTTTCCAGAAATAGACCCATTGGATCGTTTGCAGAGAACACACATTAAAGATTATCTACAATCTTGGATGTCCAGTGGATTATAATTCAAGATAGCAACCAGTTAGCTTCCCGCACAAGCACTGGAAAAACCTCCCACCTGCCCCTCTCCCAACCCTTAAGGCAATATTTTTTTAATTATTATAATTTTTACATTTTCTCATAAGCATGAAACAAACCAGATAGCATGTGTAACGAGTGTTCTCTGAAGTTGTTAATAGCCTTTTTTTTTAATCCTTGGTACTGAGTTTCCCCCTTTTTTCAGGGAGCATGCTAAGCTAAGCCGTCTGTCTCCTAACTTCATTTAGAGGTGCATTATGTAGTTTTGGTAGTGAAATTTAAAAAGTAAAACAATTCTATTCTGAACTAAATACACAAAATGTACTCAAAGGAAAAAATGGGTCCCTGGAACGTTGTTTAGAGCTAAAAAGCTACCAGGAGAGTTACGGTTTCACTCTTGTAGGCCCACCACCACAACTTCTCTTGTAGCATTGTATCTTCAAACAGTGTTCCTCTGAGGACAGTTTGTGTATAGAGTTATGAACATATACCACAGAATCTGTACACTTCTCCAACTTTCACATTTCTCTACCAAAACTACATAATGCACCTTTTAGTTTTGGGTTGCCAAATCTGCTAAAAAATCTCAATCTTTAAAATACTTTTTCTTAAAGATTGTGGTTTTAATGGAACCAGTTGTGATTTTCTCTTTTGTTATCTTTCTTAAATCCTTTCAGATTTTCTTGTGGGTTGGAATATCAGCCAATCAGTACGAGACCAAGGAGGCGTTGAACAGCGCAGAGGACTACCTGAGGACCCACCCAGCAGATCGCGATCCTGACACTCCTGTCATCTTTATCAAACAGGGATACGAACCGTTGACCTTCACCGGCTGGTTCAATGCATGGGACCCTCATAAGTGGAGCGTGAGTGTTTGATCTCTGTGATCTAAATGAAAAGCTCGAAAGTGTTTCAAGACGATGAGGCATAATTCTGTGACTGTACATTTCCATTACATCAGCACTGACTATGGAAAATAGAAACTAATTTCACATGAACTATCCAATTTTGACTAATCATTTTAGAATTTAGAAAGTGTACAGCATGATATGCAGATTGTTTTTATGTGTTTGTTGTAAAAGATTCTGCTTGATTCATTCATTTTCAATCCTGGCTAACCTGATCTTTTGAACAGGGAGGAAACTCCTATGAGGAGATGAAAAACAAGCTGAGTGATGCAGCATCAATCTCACAGATAACTGTAGTAAGTGATTGACTGACACTAATCCTAGCGCTAGCTGGCTTAATCTACTAATATAACACAAAACCTGAATGTTCTCTAATGCAATAGATAATACCACAAAAAAAATGTAATTTATCTATGAATGATGTCTGCAGGATCTGAACAATGCTAATCTCAATAAGAGCCCTGCTGAGATGAGTGGGGGTGGTTACAGGGCTCCAGGGGGCCCCATGAGCTACCCTCCTGTATATGGATTCCAAGGGAGTGATCTGTCCCCCAGATCCTCTACTCCCTCCAGCCCGTCATTTTTCAAAGGCGGTGGTACGTCCTCCCCCTCTGCCGGAGGGTCTGGGATGTATCTGAAGCCAGAGCTTCTCATCAACAAGTCTCCCAGTGAGCTGCCGCAGGGAGTGGACCCCAGCCAGAGAGAGGTGGGTGCACAATTATAGATCTTCTGCTAATGGCGCCAAACATGGAAGTAATTATGCGCTGGGTGTTAATAAATGTGTGAATGCTGCAGACGCACATGGCTCAGTGAAATTGCTTTCATATTGTGAACTCACAGAGCTCAGTTTCAAGTCAGGATTTGCCTTAAGGTATGGATTATTAATTGTGTCTTTATAGTCCAAATCAGAGTCAATATTGTTTTTTCATTCCAACAGAATAGGCCTCTGCATACAAAATGTAACCTGGCAAAATGTTTTAATCAGTCATAAATGTAAATGTCTTACTATGTCGGTCAATTTTCACCTCTTTAAAGTTGTTTTATGTCCTTTGGTGAGTGATGTTTTAATAGTGTTTTGCTTTTAAATGTCTCCACCAATTAAGCTCATTGTCTTAATATTATAATTATATTTAGTAACTATACAGTTATTAATCATTAATTAAGTATAAATACAATTATATTTCCATGACTCAAGACTGACCGTAGTTCATTGGGGAAGTTGTGAGCATGTTGTATGAAGTCATGTGTCTCCTGATGTAATAACACAAAGTGTACAGAAGAGGTCCCCCTAACTTGTTTTCTGTCCTCTGTGCTCTGATTTTAGGAATTCCTATCCGATGTTGACTTTCAGAACCTGCTTGGTACGAGCCGCTCAGACTTCCATCGCCTGCCAAAGTGGAGGCAGACTGACTTGAAGAAAAAGGCAGGACTTTTCTGAGAGACGTTCACATCTCGATTACACACTTACTAGATCAACCAAAATGATATGCAAAAAAATCTGTAATAAACAACAACCTGAAACAACCTTTATCTGTATCATCTCATCAGAATTTTTTTTTCTTTTACCTTTAACCAACTTTTTCATACATCAACCAACTTTAAGTGATTGAACGAGTAAAAACGTTATCTACATTTTTCTGCAATTCACTCAATATCACGTTTGTGATAAAGAGAAAATTACAATTAAATAAATTGCACTATAAATACTTTAATTTAAACAGCCATGCTATATATTTATGTATTTTATTCATTTTTATGCTGACTTTTATGCATGATTGAGTTCAGCATATAATTGTCATTTGTACGGCTGAATCACCTATATATTGTGAATAAATACAAAACTTTAAACAAGACTCTGTTGTTTTATTTAAGAACTAGTGCAAATGTCTGACAAAGTGACAGATGTGTTGGGACTACAACACTACTTTTTGTGGTAACTATAACGAATATCCATATTCAGTAATTGTAACGCCTCTGGTCTGATTTTCTTTGCCTCTTCACATTGCTTTTTAAATGTGACCTGTATCAGACTCCTGTGAGACAGGCGCCCTGTCATCAAGGAACAGCAAAATGGAATTTCACCCTTATGTCAACAAGACTTCCACATCAGCAAGGTGTTATAAAAAACTAATACTACCATAATCCACATGTTGTGAAAGTGGTTCTTATCTGATTTGAAAAGATCAGATTCAATATGACTTGTGCTGTTCACGGTGTGGTTAAACAAATCAGGTCTGAGTCACATAGGAGAAAAGAAAACCTGATGAAGTCACGAGCAGGCAGCACAGAGGTCTAGCTGCTAATACTGCTGTCTTACAGTGTGAAGGTTTGAGATGTCAAACTGGAACTGGTGTGTTCTGGCTTTTTTCCACAGGAGCGTGGAGCGTGATTTTGAACTACGGTAATGTACTGGTAAGATTTAGTGGTAAGGACTGCTGCCTCTCAACTAAGAGGTTGAGGGATCGACCTTGGTTCAGGCTTTCCACTGGGACATCAGAGTCTTCTAGGTTTCTCCAAATGCAGCTTGAATTATGATTTTTGAACTTCCCAAATGTACTGAAATGAAAAGTACAAACTCCCAATAAAAGAAAGCTCTGACAGGAGGCACTGTGGTGAAGTGGCTAAGGCTGCTTTCTGGCAGCCTAGAGGTTGCAGGGTAAAACCTTGGTTCAGACCTTCCTGTGGGGAAACGATTTGTCTGCTGACTTTCTCCAACTGCAGCCGGCACCATGATTTTTTAACTACTCTAATGTAATTAAAATGATAAGTACAAACCCCCCAGAAAAGCAAGCTCTGACAGTCAGCAGGTTGGTGTAGTGGCTAAGACTGTAGAGGAGGTGGTAGGTGTTGTCAAGGATGGAGAGCACTTTCTCCAGAGTCCTTCTCTCTGCAACCGCAGAGCCAGCCTGTCCTAATTTAGTCTAGTGTTTCCTGTTTTATTTTGTAGTTCTTTTCCCCAGTGTTTCTTGTCCTGTGTTACTTGCTCCCTTTGTCTGGTTTCCCTCCATTTGGATTGCCCTTATTGTCTTGACCTGTGTCATAGTGTCACCTGTGTCTGATTATCCCAGTGTCTATTTAGTGTCAGTGTTTTTTTCCTTCTGTGTCAGTTCATACGTATACCTACGCCTTTGCCTTTCTCCAACCTGACACAGAAATTCTTTAAAAAAACAAAACTGAAACAGCATTTATCTGAATAATTTAATCAGAATATTCTTTTTCTTATACCATTCACCAATTTGTTCATAAATCAACCAAGTTAAAGTGATTAAGCAAGTAAAAATGTTATCTAGATTAGCTCATTCTCATGTTTGTGATTAATTAATATTAAAAGTAAATGAATAACATTATAAATACTATAATTTGCAGTATATTTATGTATCTTATCTTTATGCTAATCAATATTGTCACATTGAGCACATTATTGTCATGTGCATCGCTGAATCACGGATATTATGAATAAATACAAAAAACGTTAAACAAGACAATGATGGTTTTATTCAAGAGCTAGTGCAAATGTCTGCTAAAGTGACAAACTGAAAGATACAGATTTGTTATGGAAAACTGCTGTAGTACATTAGATGACAAAAAAAATTAAATTCAAGTCTGACACAACATACTTGATCAAATGTGTTGAAAAAGATTTGCAGATATTTATAGACAAACGTTGTAAAGCATATTTAGTCTGGTTAAAAATATGAAAAAAAAAAACATTGCACGAAGGAAACCTGAACACATGCACACAGACATACGTGTGACTCTCTGGCAAAACATTTGCGGTCTGATTATACCGCATTATATTATCTGATTAGTCAAACAAAATATAGTACATTAACACAGATTGACTTTTTTTGTGCTTTCTATGAGTTTGAGCAAAACATAAATTAAAGGGGAATAGTAAAACATAAAAATATTATTAAGATTAACAGTCAATAAGTGAACTGGAAATTATATCTTACTGCATTTGATTGTTCCGTTTAATAATTAATAAAGTACAGTTTAATGACTCTTAATGCGCTAAACTGCTCATTCACTGCTCTATCACTCACATTTTTCCATCTTGCTTTGTAAACCTTCAGGACCTTTCCAAAAAAAAATTTTTTTCACAAAAATCTAAAATTATACAAAGACTGTGTTAAACAGACAACAGAGAGTCAACCACTTGAGTTTGGCTGATGACAGTTTTTTTCCTTAAAAACACTGATCAGTTCTTTTATTTAGTTTTAAAACTGGAGAAATTCCATTCCTCCTGGGGTCTCCAAAGAATACTTCTCAGGGTTTTTTCCAAACTGATGCCTACTGAGCATCAATGAGCATGAGATGCACAAATAGTCCGGCTGAGCTGATGATGTCTCCTCTCTTGGTCAGAAGCGGGATGTGTCGATATCCTGGAAAAAAGAGGAGGTGAGTTTTTACTTTGGAAAGAAATTAGAAAAAAAAAACACTTATACTTGGGAACATACTCAGTTTAGTTGTATGATTAACATAAAGACAGAAAGAAAACTCTTGAGAAACAACAAATCTGAGGTGTGTCTGACCACATAAATCTTCTATCCTTAAATCTAGTTATAACTCTCTTGAACAGCAATACTTGTAACATCTGGATCTAAAGAATTGTTTTTTGAGTTGAGTGCTCCACTTTGCAGGACTTTCCTACCATTCTGTACACTGGTTAGTGGCAGACAGTAATGCCCGATGAGATCATTCTGGGATGTTGAGTCATAGTCTTCAACCACAAATCGCACCATGGCTAGCTCCGGAACATGGATGTCAAAATGGAATTTCTCATTCCACATGGGGTTGAACCCTGCAGGGATGGATTAATGTTCAGTTGGTGCAATTTTTTACATGTTAGAGCTTGTGTCATTTGCACTGAGAAAAACTGAAAACCTACATTAGAAGTTAATCACTTAGTGTCCAATTTCTGTGTATGTTTAAATGTGTTATAGTCACCATTGTTTTCAATATAGTGTGTCTCCTTGCTGGCGTTGTCAGCTGGGACACCGAAGATCTCCACTCTAACCAGAGGGTCCACAATGGACTTTTGTTTGTCCTTGTTGAGCTTTGGTAACTGTTGAGCTGAGATCACCTTTAACAAACAGGGGGCATAATTACGTAAACAACATGAAAAAGTCCTCTGTATAATAAAGGTGTTCAAACTCAAATTCAAAATTCAGATACTGGAGTTTTTTGACCAAAGTGACAGCTGCGGAGATCTGACCAATCGTAGCACTATGGAAAATGTGTTTGTGGGTCCTTTCTTTGTTCGGATTAGCTCAAGCACAGGGGGTTACTTTAAACACGTTTTAAAGGAATAGGTGGTAGCAATGCACCAAACTTCATAGAAATGTTTCAACAAAAGGAAGCAAAGAAAGGGAAATATATTCCTAGCTATTTGTGACACAGTTGTCAAATGCACCCTCCGAAGGATGCAGCCCCTGAATTGGGACACAGCTAGTGTGTAATAATTCCTTTAACAGCATTCCCAGGCAACTTTAACTCAAATTTCTTCAATATCTAACCTGAGAAAAAAATCTTACCATGACATAAAAGTTCTTCCTCTGTAACCATGGCCCATTGGTAAGCGTGTTGGGATCAAACTGAGAGGACAGACTTCTCTGAAATTCAGGTTTCAGGATGTATCCACAAACCCCATTTGGCAGAAAGCGACCCTGGTTTATGTGCATCTCCTTTGAGGGAGTCTGGAAGTTCAATGCCACTAAACCAGTTCAAAGATAACATTAAATGAAGACACTTTGATTTTAACAATGTTACTACATTCACTAATAGCAGGATTTCTAGATATGCAGATGATATTGGAGTGTACCTATCTGGCAGCCAACATTCCACATGGGCACTGGGTTGTAGTTTGAGGAATCCGTTCTGGAGCCAGCTGGGTAGATTCTGCTGAGTTTGTCCATGTTGTGATGGATGTAGGCAGTAGCTATGAGAACACATTTAAAATACAATCCTTTAACCCACCTCAACATGCTTTTCACAAACTCACAAAAAACACAACTAACATAGCTAAATTTGAGGCTAAGCTGTAGATGATGTGTCTACCTGAAGTCTCTGCCAGGTTGAAAGCTTTGGTTTCCTTAAAGGAAGACATCTCATAGAACTCCTGGTTCTCCTTAGCGTGTTCAAAGCCATTAAAATGAACACTCTTGCAGTAGATGACGATGTCTGAGAGTGCCTTGGCCAGTTTGATTTTGGATTTCTGAAAAGAGACAGGATACTGTTTTGTTAGCTCATTCAGAGATTATAAATCATGTTTAAATTTGACACACTTGACTCACCTTTGGTTTGGATTTTTGTCCATTGTCCTTACAATCTGCAGCCTCATCCTCCTCAGACACAGTATCTTCATCTATGGTGCTGTTGTTGTTCAAGGAAGCATTCACTTTGTTCAATCGCTTCCCCTTGATGAGGATCTTGCCCTTCAGCTCCTGCACACAAACATAATAATTTGCATTGTGTTGTAATCCAATTTATAAACCCTGGATACAAACTATTTCTGACGTGTTTTATTT